CCCCCCTCTCCTGGCCGCCTCCCCGCCTCGCCTCGGTGCCCTGCGGCCCGGGGAATTTCATTTGAGAAGTGAATCGCGTGTAATGACGGGACCCGATGTTTGATTCGGCTCGCCTCGCCAATCTGCCGACATTGTGCGCCCGCTCAGTCCCGGGCCCTGGCCCGCAACGCCTCGCCAGCCTCGCCGCACATGCTCCACACGTCTTGCCAAGTCATCCTCATTAGCGTTCAGAAAGCGCTACCGCCCCTTCACATTTACCCTTCTCTCTCTCTCTCTCTCTCTCTCTCTCTCTCTCTCTCTCTCTCTCTCTCTCTCTGCTCACTCCCGACCCCGTGTTCCCGCGGGCTGCTCTCCCATCTCCTTTTTGCCCCCGCATGACTCGTCTAACGATTTGTCTCTGCCCGTTACAGATGACCCGTAACATCCAAGTGAAGGCATCGGAGGCAGCTGACCCTCGGGGTGGTAAGTGTGCCCCACAGTGTGCCACGAAGTGCGTGTGCAGCACGTCGTGCATTCAGTAGTGTAGAAACTGTGTTCTTGCATATTTTGTTTTACTACGGTTTTGTAGTAATATTTTATTCGCGAATTAAAAATGAAACACGCGACACTTTGATTTTTTACCGTCCGAAGTCGCTACGCTTTTTTTTCGCTTTAGAATGTGCAAAGTGTGGATGCGTGTGAGTGTGTGATTAACATGACTGACCCCCGCCTTACAAGCGCGTCACAAGCGTGCGCGCACGTGCGCTATTTGTGCAAAACAAATTGGGAAACGTTCGAGGAAATCGTGATGACGGATAGCTTTTCCTCTCCTTGTCGCTATCGTGAGGTTTATCAGAGGCTGCCGCCCTGTCCGTGCCCGAGGCCGTGCCCGACGAGGCCGGGCCCCACATGCAGGACCCTAACTCAACACGCGGGGACTTTTACTGCCACCACCATCATAGGCCTCTCGCCTGGCGCCTACGCCGCACACATGCGCCTCCATCCCTCACTTGCAGGCAGAGCTGTAAACTTTGCCTCCTCGTCGGCACCTTCTCGACTTGGTCCCGAAAATCCCCATTTTTCACTTTCACCGTTTCTCAGCGTACTTTCCCGCGCTCGCGCGCTCAAAATTTTTAATTTGGACGTTAGCTGGCGTGCCTTGCGGAGAGCCTGGGAGGGATGATTGCCAAACACACAACTGCAAAGCAATTACAATTGTTTCAGCAATCATCCCTCGTCGTCCCGCGCGCTCACGTGCGCCGGCGTGTTATTCACTGAAACGGCTCTCGGCTGGATTATTGTTTTACATTACAAGAGCGAGCATTTAAATGGCGCGAAATTGCGTCGCCGTGTCGTCGCTGAGCGCCGCCGCCGCCACCACCCCTCCCTCTCCCGTCTACCGCGTGCTTGTAGCGGGGCAGCGCTGTGCGTGGGCGAGAGAGAGAGAGAGAGAGAGAGAGAGAGAGAGAGAGAGAG